GATCTCAATCCCATAGAGAACCTGTGGTCAGTCCTCAAAAGGCGAGTGGACAAGCAGAAGCCCACAAATTGTGATCAACTCCAAGAACTAATAAGGCAAGAATGGATCGTCATCAGTCATGATTTGGCCCAGAAGCTAATATCCAGCATGCCAGAGCGAGTTGCAGAGGTTATGAAGAACAAGGGCCAACGCTGTAAATATTGACTCATATTTTTTTGCCAATAAAAGCCTTTAAAACGTATGATATGCTTAATCATTGTTTTTCAGTATACCATAGAAACATGTGGAAAAATAATCTACAAATACTGAAGCAGCAAACTTTGCAAAACACAAAATTTGTCACTGCCAAAACTTTTGGCCATGACTGTATGTTGACTGAAGCAGTCAGATGGGCAGTTTGTTTGTACTGTTGAATCACCATCAATCACATTAGTCTTTGATAAAACCTCAAAGGGTAGCCGTGTAGCGTTAGTTACCATGGTGACGAAACCCGCTCAAAACCAACCCACCTTCTTGAGCCCGAAAACTCAGTTTGCTCAAACTAAATGCGAACTTACCTGGGTAAAAACTGAAACCGGCTTCGTGCTACAGGCCACTGGTCTTTATTGTAGAGTATCTCTGGGCTTCACCCACAGGCCTTTATTGTAGTAAAGAGACACTAGCTGCGTCATAATTCACGTACTTTCGGAATGTACATTAAATTACATGAACTTTTTTTTTTTCAACCTTTGAAGTAAATGCATTACACTTTCACACGTGAGTATAAACTTCATACCTGTCAACACTCCCGTTTTCCCGGGAGTCTCCTGTATTTTACACCCATCTCCCGCCCTCCTCCAGTTTTGTTATTTCTCCAGGCATAATTTGTATTTCCCTACATCGTTATATGAATAATCACATCAATATATTATTCCAAGGTTATCCAGTTGCCAGATCTTGTATGAAACCAGTGGCGTAGCGTCTGGGTATGCAGGTGCATATGGGCCCAGGCAGTTTGGGGGCCCACTGAGCTGGGGGGAATTGTAATTGAAACGAGGGAACGAATAGAGCCCTTCATGGGCACGGCTCTTGTCCAACAGCTTATGAGAATTCTCGGCCCAAGTCCGACTGGATACCGTGTCTTTTTTCTCTCTCTCTCTTCCCCATTACACAGCTAAAATAGTTCAGTTTTGGTTTTTAATGGCAAAATGGTAATATTTCTTTTTGTTTCTTTAAATTAATTTAGAAATATGTTTGGAACATTTTATGTTTGTTAAATTCAAGTTTTTGTTTTTAAAGGAACGACCAAGCGGCAGCGGCAGACAGTGAGTTGAGCATTATGTTTGATCAATTTAGCCTTCTCAAACCAACACGACTTGCCTAAAAAACAGACATAAAACACCATGCATTTTACAGTACTCATTTAAACATTTAACCTAGATAAATGAGCGCTGTTAGGCACATATCCAATCGTTTGTGCGGAGAGTGGAAGCTAAAGCGTGCTCTGCAGGACATGGAGGCGCCAGCGCGATCACTTGCATATTTTATTTTTTTAGTAACAGTGGAAACTTAAAAATACGCCGTCATTTTTGCTCATAAAAGGTAAGACTATACATCATTCGGAACTGCAAACGGTCTACTTGTATTTGTATGCTCTCACGATATCAACAAAACCTTGTGCTTTTGTAAAATAAGGAAAACAAACAGGATGCGCTTTCTGTCGTCTTGGTCTTGAGCAGGAGTGCTTCACCGACATGAGAAATATATCTATAGAATGCTTTAATTTACTATTTTAAAACTAAATAATTCAAATCGAAAACACAAACTCTTTCATTAAATAATCAGTAAAGATACATTTCTCAAAGGGAGGTCCAATGAGGAGATGGCGAGTCAGGTTCGTCAAATTAATTTTTGCAACATTGACTCAGAAAACATTAGTTTATTAACAAATAATTAAAATATCCCCTCACTAGGCCTATTTTTTACTTTTTTTTGTTTGATTTTTGGGCTGCTGTGCCAAAAATGTGTTTGCATTCAGTAGCCTATACTGCAGCATTTTTGTGCCATGTTGAAAAATAACTAAATAAATAAGATTAACGTCATAATATTTTAAGAATAAAGTCAAAATTACGATAATAAAATCATGTTATATTGCGTGAAGTTAATGAGAAAATTC